GTGTGTGTGTGTGTGTGTGTGTGTGTGTGTGTGTGTGTGTGTGTCTATTTCTAAGTTTATATGTATATGTACATATGTATGTATATAGATGTGTGTATATATATATATGTATATATACATATATACATTGTTGTGTATATTTATGTATATATATATATATATATATATATATATATATATATATATATATACATATATATATATATATATATATATATATATATATATATATATATATATATATATATATATATATATATATATATATAGTTTGTGCACTGTATATATATATACAGTGCACAAACTAGATTTCTTAAAAACGAGACAATGATTTCGAAATCCTCCTGGATTCCATCTTCAGGTCTGAAGGGGAAGAGGGGAGGAGGGAGTATAAAAGAGAGAAAGGACAGGCAATGCGGTGAACAGGTGAATGGAAGCGAAGGTGTCAGATCAGGTCAAAAACGGCATGAGGGAGAAGGTGGAGGATGTTGGATGTGAGGAGGCTATCAGCAGGAGAAAAGCCGCAGTTCAAGTTGAAATTAGTCAGCAGCTTGATTAAGGATGATTCCACCACTCTGTGGGCGTGGACCTCAGCGGAAGGGAAGATGAAACGCACGGCTGATCAATCCGTCTGATTGCCTGTGTTCCACTGTGTCTCCTGGATACAGTGTATTTATATTGAGACAGATGCTTAGTGAGACTGGCGCCTCTCTCCAAAGTGCTACTTATCGCAGGAGGCACAAGGAATAGCATAGGTGCCCACCTTCAAGGTAGAGGGAGGGTTTGTGTGGACCAGGTTGTGACGGAGAGTGTTCACCTGACGAAAGATAAGTCTGCAGTTGAGCAGGTGAAGCGGAATAGAGTCGTGTCATGTGGAAAAGGGAGTAGTTTTGATAGACGTAGTATTGAGGTAAACAATAAGTTGTAGAGTAGTATTATGGGAGGATGGGGTAGTTGATAAATGGTTAATGGTTAAAAGCAAAATAAATGTGCTAGACATCTAAGGCCATGTAGCACTGTAGGAAGGTATAGTAAAGGTAATGAAAGATGGTTGAGTTAGTGGTTAGTTGATAAAGCTGGGTAAAGGAATTGACGAGTGAATGGGTTATGGTCTAGATGGTAAAGGGGTTAGACCAAGTGAAGGCTATGTGAGGAACGAGAACAAGTTGTCAAAACAGAAAGTATGAGATTCTGTAAGGATGTCTGATAAGTTGGGAGGTCGGTGAAGGGAGGATAGGTGGGGGAAAGCAGAGGTACTGGATGCATCAAAGCATGGGTAGGACAATAGAATGCGTGGAACTGACAGAGGGACAGACATTACATAGGGACCATATGGGTGGGTCAGAATGTAACATCAGATAGGAGTGTGTTAGACGGGTGTAGCCAATGCGAGCGGGCGAGAGCGGTCTCCCAACGTCTGTTCAGATGAAATGGAGCTGATCATGAGACTAATAGTTTTATAGTATGTAATTTATTAGTGCGGAAACTTGACCCAAAAGATTGCCATCGGTTATAGAAGGTCTTAGAAGGGGGTAATAATCCGTAATGGAGTTGGTTGGTTAGTTTTGTGAGACAAGGATTTTCTTGTGAGGGGGAGAAGAGAAGACTGGTGTCTGAAGAGTAGGGGCAAAGGAAGGTGGAGGTGATTGTGTGGTAGGGGAAGAGGGGGTGGAACGTTTAGTCTGTCTGCTGCGGGTAGTGCAGGGAGGGAGAGGGGAAGGTGTTGGGGCTGTAGTAGAGATTGGAGTGTCTGGATTTAGGATGGCAAAAGAATTTGACTGGGGAAGGTAGGAGGTAGAAGAGGGGAAGTTAGATGGAGGAGGGATAGGTTTAGGGGAGGGTGTAGGAGCTTGGGAGGTAGGGGGAGTGGCAGAGTGAGCGACATTACTGGAGCAGGGAGTAAGAGAAAAATTTGTCGACGTGCTTCCTGTCTGGCTTCTCGTAGAGTGAGTCCAAGTTTGAATATGAGAGTTGCTACCTCAGACTCAAATTTGTAGGTGGGGCAGCCCCTATGAAATACATTATGGGGGCCGCCACTGTTGGCACAAGTGCGTGATTGTGCAGAGCAGTTTGATCGAGTATGGCCAGGTTGGGCACACAGCGGGCATCTGGCTGTGGAACGGCAATGTTTGGCAAGATATCCTAATGGTTAATGGTTAAAAGCAAAATAAATGTGCTAGACATCTAAGGTCATGTAGCACTATAGTAAATGTTAGTGAAGCGTGGTTGAGTTAGTTAGTTGTCAAAGCTGGGCAAAGGAATTGGTGAGTGAATGGGTTAAGGTCGGGTGAGGTAATGTAAAGGGGTTAGATTAAATGAAGGAGGGGAAGAGACAAAATGATAGTTGGGGATTGGTATTGGAGGATGTGTAAGAAATGGATGGGTTATAAGAGGAAAGGATATGACGAAGGTCGGGTCTGTGAGAGCGGAAACCGCGAATATTCCAGTGAAGGATATTTATACTTTCCTTGATTTAGTGATATAGACTGTAGTACGTGTTGGAGAATTTGAAGGGGAAGGAGCTAGAGGGTGGGATAAGGAGTGAGAGGGGGGGAGGTGTGGGAGTTGGTGTTGTATCAGGAGGGGTATTAGGAGGTGGAGGGTCTAAGTCACTTCGAGTGTGGAGGGAGCAGGAGTTGTAAGATTTGAAGGTTGATGAGTATCAGTTTTGATTAAGTAGTCTAGAATATTTTCAAGAGTTTCTTCAATGGAGTTGGTTGGGGAGTTTTGTGAGATAAGGATTTCTTGTGAGGGGGAAAGAGAAGACTGGTGTCTCAAAAGTAGGGGCAAAGGAAGGTGGAGGTGATAGTGTGGTAGGGGAAGAGGGGGTGGAACGTTTATTCTGTCTGTTGCGGGTAGTGCGGGGAGGGAGAGGGGAAGGTGTTGGGGCTGTAGTAGAGATTGGAGTGTTTGGATTTAGGATGGCGAAAGAATTTGACTGGGGAAGGTAGAAGGTAGAAGAGGGGAAGTTAGATGGAGGAGGGATAGGTTCAGGGGAGGGTGTAGGAGCTTGGGAAGTAGGGGAAGTGGTAAAATGAGCAATATGACTGGAGCAGGGAGTAAGAGAAAATCCTTGTCGACGTGCTTCCTGTCTGGCTTCACGTAGTGGGAGTCCAAGTCTGAATTTGAGAGTTGCTACCTCAGACTCAAATTTGTAGGTGGGGCAGCCCCTATAAAATACATTATGGGGGCCGCCACAGTTGGCACATGTGCGTGATTGTGCAGAGCAGTTTGATCGAGTATGACCAGGTTGGGCACATAGTGGGCATCTGGCTGTGGAACGGCTATGTTTGGCTGGGTATCTTAAACGCCAACAATTTTGGCACTGACGAGGAGGAGGGTATGGTCTAATGCTATAGCTTGGTTTTCGGGTGTTACTGTGATGAGACGGAGCGGTCGGGTCAGCTATGGAAAGAGACTTTGCCTACTTGTTTTTGGAGACATTGCTGGAAGAGAAGGGTATTGTCAGAGTAGGAAGCTGTGGGGGGGATCACGAAAAATCGGTCCCATTTGGCTGGGCTAAATAGAGTATTTAGGATTGTTGTAGAGATAGGGGTAGTAGAAGGGCGGGGGTGTGTTGAAGAGGGAGTAGTGTTGAGGGAGGTAGTGTTATGGAGAGGTGGGCAATAAGGCTGTAAGGTATTAATAAGGGAGGATGGGATAGTTGATGTAGAAGGTTGTGGAGGTAGAGGTGTTGAGCATGATGGGAGAGTAGGAATGTCTCTGGGGGGTTGAGTGTTGACTACTGTACTAGTAGGCATTGAGTAGGGGGTAGTTGTTGCAGTGTTCGGAGCCATGGTCAAAGGAGAGCCTGGGGTCAGGGAATCGGGAGGATTTGAATTGTTGGGGCTATTTGATGAAGGGGCAAGCCTCATTGCCCCTAATAGTGGGGTTAGGTTTTCATTATTGGCCATGGTAAGCCTGGAGTATGTTGGGGATAAAAATAGTCCACCCCTCAGGGTCCCCTTGAGGGGTAAGGGCTAGGTAACTAAAGCAGGGGAATACCGTGCCCATGGCTCCCTCAGGCCGTTCAGGACTGGGACAAAGTCAGCCTTTCATCCTTTCAGCACGGCTCTCACACCTTAGGAAGTGGATAGTAGAAGGGATTGGTGAAGGGACAGAAACGAAAAAGTAGGAAGGGAAAAAAAGATCATGCAAAATTAGTTGAGTCGAGGGCTGAGTCCCAAGGTTGGGGAGTTCCCCATCATTGGATCCCAATCTCCGCCTCCTAAGCCCCCCCACGACAACAACGGGCAAGGGATTGGGGGGGGGTAGTGTTGTGGAGAGGTGGACAATAAGGCTGTAAAGTAGTAATAAGGGAGGATGGGATAGTTGATGAAGTGGGTGAAGAGGTGATGAAGTTGAGCATGTTGGGAGTAAAAATGTCTCCTGGGGGTTCAGTGTTGACTAGGGTGGATAATGTACTAGTAGGCATTGAGGAGGGAGTAGTAATTGTAGTGGTCAGAGCTGTAGTCAAAGGAGAACCTGGGGCCAGGGAATCGGGAGAGTTTGAATTGGTGGGGCTATTTGATGAAAGGGCAAGCCTCATTGCCCCTAATAATGGTATAAAATCTTCATTGTTAGCCTGGAGTATGTTGGGGAGAGAAACAGTCCATCCCTCAGGGTTCCCTTGAGGGGTAAGGGCTAGGCAACTAATGCAGGGGAATACCGTGCCCATGCCTCCCTCGGGCTGTTCAGGACTGGCACAAAGTCAGCCTTTCAGCATGGATCTCACACCTTAGGAAGTGGATAGAAGAATGAGTTGTTGGGAAGGGACAGAAACAAAATAGTGGGAAGGGAAAAAAGACCATGCAAAATTAGTTGAGTCGAGGGCTGCGTCCCAAGGCAGGGGAGTTCCCCAGCATTAGGTCCGAGTCTCCGCCTCCTAAGCCCCCCCATGACAACAACGGGATGGGGTAGGGGGGCTCCAAAAAGAAATAAAGAGGACTTCATAACCTAAATTTAATTTGATGCTTAAAGGAATCAGAGAAAACTTCTGGTATTCAACAACAGTTTAATCTTCAAAAATACTTATATCTCATTCTCATAGGCATTTTTGCTTGGAGCACAATCATATGTCCAAACATAATTATTTACATAAAAATGTTTTATATGTTCATATATATTATATCCATCTTCAACCTCTTCATTTTCCAAAAAAACAAAATTTACAAAAAAAGAAAAAAGAAAAAAAACTAAAAATACATACATACTGCCCTTGTACTGATTATAAAAATCTTTTAAGCATTGCCTAAGTATGTAATTAACATATAATAATATTAAGAATTTGTTCACATCATTTGTAAATTCTGATCAGAAAATGACTGGATAAGATGGAATAATAATGAAAGAAAAAAATGTGGCAACAGCAAAATTGGGTGCAGATGCTAACTTTACAAACTGCTGACAAAGGGCATTTTTTAAAAATTTCAGCCAAAGTTTGATGATAATAAACTCATAATTGGCCGTAAAATTTCTCATTTCCCAGTGAGACCTGTTTCACTGGTGTTGTACAAGCAGAGACTGTGGAGAGTCTCCCATACAAGAAGTCTGCGAATACAATTGCTGCGTTTCATGTAATGTTCACAAAGCATTGGTAGAAACACAAGCACAGAGTCAAAACACTTTCTACTGAACAACAAATATCTTTAGGGGACTAAATAATATGGGCAAAATGCTTAAGTCTTCAGGTTTCTTAAACATGGAATGCTGACTGAAAATGATATTAAATACCTGATCTTTTAGACGATTAAAAAAAGAAAAGTAGAGGGGGGAAAAATACAAATAATTTTTAGCTGGCATCTCCACCCACTGTTTCCACTGTCCATTGTATTATAACTATAGTGCAAGTTTCAGTTTTCACATGCTGTCCAATAAAGAGGATCACAACAACTATTTCTTCATTTGCCATAAAATGTAATACACCCTTAATAACATTTAAAGACAGCAATCATACAGATTAAACATTACAGAAACATTGTCATTACAGTACCTTTCATAAACTGCAGTAACAACAAATAATTCTCCTCTGATGTATCTGGCCTTCTGAACATTGGAACACTGTTTAAATTTCAGGTCCATAAACACTCCAAATGATATATATTCATAATTAAAGTATTTGTTGGCATATGCAGTAACACTATTACAACGTCTTTATCTCTCAAAGCATTTGAAACTATAACATTTTCCAAAGCATGAGACTGAAAAATTCGTACTATATGATGGCCTACTCACAGAATCACACATTCCCTGGAGTTAAGTGCAACACTGTATGAACATTTGCGATTCATAATCGCTGGACATGACTAGCAACATAATATTAACATATACCAAGCATGCTTGATCCACACTTACAATATAATTGCAATAAAATAAGCCAAAAAGAAAAATTTTATTTAAAAAAAAGTCATGCAATTCAGAAATTCTGCATGGAATTGATATTCTAACACAAATTTCTAATGGTCAAACAACATTTTCCATAATGAGGAGAGACAGAAATAATAAAATAATACCAATGCTTGGTAAATTTCCTTTTTTTTGTTAGAATATTGAACTTCATTTCTTTTGTTTCCAATTCATTTGGCAATCTCATTGGACAGCTGGCTTCTACCTCAAGGACCTGCACATACAATCAATTGTCAAGGTCATAAAATCATTCATAAATATTATGTAGCTGGCCTTTGACAAAAAATTGTATGGGAAATCCTACATATGACAACCATGATAGTATAAACACTACACGTGAAAAAATATGGGAACCATGTACTGTATTATCACCGGATTGTTGCTGTGCTGTTCCATGGTTGCCAAAACAATGAGAGAAACATTTTCTCAATGGTTACAGGCTAGCTCACTACAACAAGGACACTTCTCTCAATTGGTCATTGCTTCTCAGAAGGTTGACCTTAACATAGTTTGTTAATGACAATTTCAGGTCACATTATCACAAGCAGTGATTCGTATATTTGACACACTATTCTGTCTTTTGACAGGACAAATCTCTTGAGGATTTTAGCTTTTCTACAAGTGCTTAACTCTGGTTCTCCAACACAGCTACCCTATTCTCTATACATTTAATAAATCTTTCTTCTTTTGCCAGTACTCATTTGCAGCTCCCCTGGAACAAAATATATTAGTGGTGGTGCATCCTTAAGCACTGTCTATGTGTATGGGGTAATACCTGTTGAAACACGAGATGTAAATGATGCCTATATCTGCACCTTATGGCAGCCCAATCAATTGTTAGTGGTTTTAAGGTCTTTGCAATATAGCACTCAACTTTAACTACTTGCTCACATTAACAACACAGCCAACAGCTTTGTTAACCACCAATAAATGAATGGCTTTGGGAAAAGAAAGAAAAAATATAATAATAATGATAATAATGATCATAATATCAACAGTAATAATAATCATAAAATAATAATTCAATAAACATATTTAGAACTAATTGAACCATTAACAAATTAGGGCAGCCATGACCCCTGCTCAAGGATCCCAATAAGTGATGGAGTAATAGCTCAACTTTTCACTGATCAGGTGGATGAGCCTCCTTAACACTATGTCACTGCCCCGGGTCATATCACTGCAGAGATTAAACCCATGCCATCACCCAGGCAAGGAAGGAAAGTTCTGATATATTCTGCTATCAACTGTTCTGACAGTAGAGGGCTTTCAATGTCTTCAATTCTTCAATCAGAGCTTTGTTCTGGTTCTCTAGCACGGCCACTCTGTTCTCAAGACATTTGATATATTCTTTCTTTTTCGCTCTACATTCTCTTGCAGCTTCCCTGTAAAATGTAATGCCAATTATTATTTTCCAATAAATAATTTTGAAATAGTATCTAATATATAGAATACACTAACACAAGTACCTCCTCAAATAACATAAGAGGTTAACCAAAAGGTAACTAAGACCTAAAATAAAATAATTTCATACTTCACAAATCAAAACTCATATTTGTAAATCTTTTAACCCAATGGCGCCGGGTGTACAAGAGAAAAAAAAACTCTACGCTTAAACAAACAAAGGCGGCGCGCCGACTTTGAGCGCGTGAGTAGGGGACATCAGCCCGAATCACTGGCTCGCCGCGCTTTGGCGCGCCGCCGGCTCGTTTGGCTGCATGCCAGCTTTCGAGCTCTTTGTTTACACGCCGATCGGCGTCACCCGGCACCAAGGGGTTAAAGAAAAAAATCCAAGCATCCACACTGAGTCTGCAACAACAGATCCAGCACTATGATCTCTTTCAGGTAAGAATAAAAGACTAAAAAACAAACTGAAGCAAACAGTACAAGATGAAGAAGTAGAAAAATAGCACCATAACTTTCCAGCTTGGTCGCACTTAGTGAGACACTAAGTCAATAGAGGAGGAATATAGTCAAATGAGCCAATTGAATTTTTCATCATTTGTTCACTGGCAGAACAAAGTATTTTGGCATTTTCCAAGAGAAATTTCTAGAGAAATTAAAAAAGTTTTAACCCATTGCCACTGGGGTAAAATGAATAAAAAAAAATGGGGAAAATGCTGCTGTTTTTTTTTTTTTTTTTTTTTTTTTTTTTTTTTTTTTTTTTTTTTTTTTTTTTTTTTTGTGAAAAGTCTCTGCACATAGATGGCTCTGCCTTATCTGATTTCACCTTTGCTTGAATTGGCGGGAAAATATATTTTTTACTAGTGCTATGAATACTGAACGTGTTATTTTTATCATGAACATTATAATTACTAAAATGTTATAAACATTAGTAATAGGAAAATAAGATATTGTAAAATATTTTTGTAAATCAAAGAAAAGGGTGAATGGGCGAGACAGGCAGCACTCATAATTGGCTCATTGGTGATTCAGTACAACTGTAGCCATCTATGTGTAAAAATAATTAAACAAGTAAACTCACAGTGGGCATGGCACGGATACGTGACATACCCGTTGTGAATGGGTTAAAGACTATTATTTTTTATTTATTTATTTATTTATTTATTTTTATTTATTTATTTATTTTTTCAGCCAGGAGACTTTTCAGTGAATAATAGTTCAAGTTTCTTTACATTTCAGGGTGTATTATATTTTCTACATATCACTGGTGTTAATGGGCTAAATTAACTTTCAATATGGAAATTTACACATTTTTGTAATGTAATAAGCATTTACCAAGTGGGGAATAAATGTAAAGAAAGAGTGGGACAAATAAGAATACTAGGAAGTTAATCACACTATTAAGACCTACTGAAACAACTGAAATAATATCTCATACCTGTTTTTCATAAGCCTTATTTCCCGTTTCCGAGAAGCTTCCTCTGCTATCTGGTCACCAGAACCATGAACTGCTGAACCAGTGGTTGCTAGAACCACACCCTGTGCAAGCCCAGCACTTGTACTTGTGGCTATTTTAAGGCTGCTCAAATCACCTGTTGCAACTGTTTGGAAAATAATTATTTGGGTTTTAATATATAAACTATAATATTCAGAACACACACACAAAAATCTTTATCATCTAAAATGGTCTTAATTCTTTTAATTCATAAAAATATGGTATAAAAATATGGTTTCCGGGCAACCTTTAAGAATAAAACCAAGTGACATTCTGTGCAGTTGCTTACCTGGGACAATGAACTGAGGGTCAGAGCCAGGGGCATAATGGACAACAGCCCCTCCTGCTGTGGCTGCATTTGTCATGGCGATAGTCTGAAGACCTTCTGTGCCTTGACCACTCAGCTGGAGACTGCTGGCTGGAATAACTGGAAACAAGATGGAGATTCACAGATGAATTAACCATTTAAATCCAACATACTTCATAAAAAAAACAACAGCTTTCTTGACATGCCTAGGTTTTTGTATTGATAGGATAAACTATGATTACATAAAAAAAAAAAAAAAAAATTGGTGGTGGTTCTCAACCCATCACCATCTCTATGATAGACTCCCCAACTATTGTATCTTGGTTCGACATACCCAATATATACTAAGAAGTGATTTGTATATGCATGATTGCATGCACATGCACACGCACACATACACATGCACACACACACACACACTTGTATGCAGGTGATTTGTGTGCACTTGTGCAGATTTGTATACATTGGGTAAGTCAAACCTAGGTACGGTAGAGGGCAAGTCTGCGGTAAATATGATGGTGGCTTGAGAACTGCCAACAATGATTACCTAAACAACTACTCCCCTTGGGAAGGATCATTGGTCAGCCATCCCAGTATAAAGACCCAGTCAACTATATGATGTCAACACAGTGCCAAGTAGCTTGTCAAGCACAGCTTCGGTGATGGCATAAATGAAATATACACACACACACACACACACACACACACATATATATACACACACACATATACTTCTCTATACATACACATACATATAGAGACACACACACACACACATACATACATATATACATATACATACATACATACATACATATAAGAATAAGAGCAAGAGAAAATAAGATAGAAAATATGAGAAAGAGAGACTAAGAGGATAAGAGGACAAGAGAGAGAGAGGGAGAGAGAGATTGAATATGAATCATATTGAAACAACAATAGAAGTTCCTTATTTACCACCACTCGTATATCTGCCAACATTCCTTGAACCTTAGCCTGTTAGTGTTTGTCACAATGAAATTGTTATTATCACTGATAAATAAATGAAGTGAAATCATTCCCCTTTCACATTTCATTACTGAAGCCAAAGCTCTGACTTGCCATTGCAGATTCCCTTACAGATAAATTTGATGAAGTAAAGCAGAGGAGGCCCTTGCATAGGAAATAAAAGCATATGTTTGAAGAGTTTAATCAAAGAATGGGAGTTTGATATATGCAGCATAAATGCTCTGAAACAAATAAATGAGCCTAACATGCTGTTACTTACATGTAAAGCAAAGTATTATATAAGTGCTGTCAGCTAACAATAAGTAAATGAGTAAATGAAACTGAAGTAATGAGAAAAGTGTGAACTGCATAAAAAAAAGGAAGTTGTATCACTCCATCAAGTATCAAGTTAAAAAGCATACAGAATACCCATAAGTGCATTTTGTTTAGACATGTATGAATAAATATAATTTTTATATACAGCTATTTATGGATGGGCTCACACACAAACTAACAAACACAAATACATATCCATTTAACCCAATGCCGCCAGGGAAAAATGAACAAAAAATGTGGAAAATGCTGTGTCTATTTTCTATATTTTTGTGAAATGTCTGCCAATAGATGGCTTTGCTAGTGCCTGATTTGAAATGGCGGGAAAAATGTATTTTTCACTAGGGCTATGGATATCGATGGTGTTATTTTTATTATATACATTATAATTACTAAAATGTTATAAACATATGTAACAGCAAAATAAGATAACGTTAAATATTTTCGCAAATTGATGAAAAGGGTGAACGAGCGAGACAGGCAGTACTCGTAACTGGCTCACTGGTGATCTAGTACAAGTGTAGCCATCTATGTATAAAAACAATTAAACAAGTAAACTCACAATGGGCATGGCATGTGCGTACATGCCATGCCTGTCACCAATGTTGGTGGGCATGGCATGTATGTACATAGCATGCCCAATGGGAGTTTACTTGTATAATTGTTTTTACACATAGATGGCTACCTTTGTAGCCAATTACGAGTACTGCCTGTTTACCCTTTTCCTTGATTTACGAAAATATTTTATGTTATCTTAATTTTCTTTTCCTAATGTTTATAACATTGTAGTAATTATAATGTTTATAATATAAAAAACACCATCGATATTCATGGCACTAGTAAAAAATACGTTTTTTCCGCCAATTCAAGGAAAGGTGAAATCAGGTAAGGTCACAAGGTCTACTAATTAACTCCTCTGTGGCTAAGCACTAGCAGAGCTATCTCTGTGCTGAGACATTTCACATATATATAAAAAATGAGCACAACATTTTCCCAATTTTTTATAATAATTTTCCCTGGTGACATTGGGTTAAATTGATTTACAATATAACATTATTTCACTGACAGTAGCAGAGATTGCTTTCACTCTAATATCAATAATAACCTGCACATGCCTGTATGTATGTGCATATGAGTGCATGCGTGTGTGTGCTCATGTGTGTCTATGTGTGCAGGACATTTTAGTAGATTTGAAACACACCATATATCATTTATAAGAACAGAGTGCTTTAATTCTAATAAAAATGATAATCCACATGCATGTATGCAAGCATATTTATATATATATATATATATATATATATATATATATATATATATATATATATATATATATATATCTGTGTGTGTGTGTGTGTGTGTGTGTGTGTGTGTGTGTGTGTGTACATATGTATATATATACACATATATATATACATACATACATACATAAATATATATACATATGTATATATGTATATATATATGTATGTATGTATATATATGTATATATGTATCTATATGCATGTATGTATATAAATACATACATATATATATATATATATATATATATATACATATATATATACATACATATATATATATACATATATATACATACATATATATATACATATATATACATACATATATATATACATATATATATACATATATATACATACATATATATATACATATATATACATACATATATATATACATATAT